AGAGACCAGGCAGAAGACAGAGAGATGATGCCACCACTTTCCTTAAGTAGACAGAGTTGGAGGGCAAGAGGAGAAAATGAGGTACAGTCAAATACAGGGCTCTGTGCCTGCTGGGGCAGATCCCTGTTTGCATTGAAAGGTTTGTGCTATGCTGCTCCAGCTTTTGAGTCACTGTGGATCTTGCTCAGCACAGAAATATGTCCCTGAGTCATTGAGTAGGGCATGATCTATCTCCACAGATAAGTGACCGCCCTTAGTCCCATTACTCTTGAAGCGGTTTCTGAATTCCTGCTCAATCTCTGCCATGCCTCCTTCCAAAGAGTATACAACCAGCTGCAGACCGGTATCCTTCCCCATGAGCAACTTGTACCAGTACATGGCTGAGAATACTCTCCCCTTTTGGGAACATTTCAGAGTCACAGAATCTCCCACTCGGACAACTGTGTCTGGTGACTGCTGAAGAGCATGGCCTGGAAAGAAAGGGAAAGAGATGTGAGGAATGAAACATGTTGAAGGGGAAATGAAAACACATCCTTGAAGTATGACACGGGATGGGGTGGCATAAGGATGTCAGCAAGCTATGAGACAGTGTACCATTTGTCTGAGAGAGGCACTCAGGACAAAAAAAAAACAACCAACCAACCAACCAAACGAAAAAAAACAACCAACCCCCAAAAAAACCCACACAAAACCAAAAAAAAGAAAAAAAAAACAAAACAAAACTAACAAAATCGCCAACATAACAGCCTGAAACATAATAGAAAATTTGTTATGAAAATGACTTCAGTAATCTGAGTTGAAGCATTAAAATGGAACAGAATAAACAAATTTGTAGATGTGTAGAATTTTAAGAGCTGAAAGAGGAAAAGATCACCCTTTTCATTGCCCATCCTCCCCCTGGAAGCCTTGGGGAATGGGGCACTGCCAGCAACTGGGCACACAGTTATGTCTGCAGCAGCAGCTTCAGTGCAGCTGTTCAAGCAGAAGGGAAACTCACTCACCCACAGGGCACAGAATGGCCAAAAGGAACCAGTGGAGAACCATGGAGAAAGGTCACCTCCTTCCAGCAGCCTGCCCCTGTTGTCAGCACCGGCACAGGGATGTGTGAAGAGGAGAGGCTGAGAGAGGAAGAGACGTGTCTCTTCGTGGGTGGGCACGTCAGTGAGAGACGAGCCTGAAATGTGAGAAGGTGGTTGGCTGTCTGGGAACGGTGGAGAATGACACCTGCATGCAGGCATGAGGTGTGTGTATGCTGCTCCGCTGACTTCATGCCGAAAGTATCTGTGTGTATGCGCAGGTGGGAGACAAGTGTTATCACAGGATCATGACAGAGCTGTGTGGCTGCCTGGGTGCGTGCATGGCACAGGGATACATGAAGAGGCACCAAATGAGAAGAGAAGAGAAGAGAAGAGAAGAGAAGAGAAGAGAAGAGAAGAGAAGAGAAGAGAAGAGAAGAGAAGAGAAGAGAAGAGAAGAGAAGAGAAGAGAAGAGAAGAGAAGAGAAGAGAAGAGAAGAGAAGAGAAGAGAAGAGAAGAGAAGAGAAGAGAAGAGAAGAGAAGAGAAGAGAAGAGAAGAGAAGAGAAGAGAAGAGAAGAGAAGAGAAGAGAAGAGAAGAGAAGAGAAGAGAAGAGAAGAGAAGAGAAGAGAAGAGAAGAGAAGAGAAGAGAAGAGAAGAGAAGAGAAGAGAAGAGAAGAGAAGAGAAGAGAAGAGAAGAGAAGAGAAGAGAAGAGAAGAGAAGAGAAGAGAAGAGAAGAGAAGAGAAGAGAAGAGAAGAGAAGAGAAGAGAAGAGAAGAGAAGAGAAGAGAAGAGAAGAGAAGAGAAGAGAAGAGAAGAGAAGAGAAGAGAAGAGAAGAGAAGAGAAGAGAAGAGAAGAGAAGAGAAGAGAAGAGAAGAGAAGAGAAGAGAAGAGAAGAGAAGAGAAGAGAAGAGAAGAGAAGAGAAGAGAAGAGAAGAGAAGAGAAGAGAAGAGAAGAGAAGAGAAGAGAAGAGAAGAGAAGAGAAGAGAAGAGAAGAGAAGAGAAGAGAAGAGAAGAGAAGAGAAGAGAAGAGAAGAGAAGAGAAGAGAAGAGAAGAGAAGAGAAGAGAAGAGAAGAGAAGAGAAGAGAAGAGAAGAGAAGAGAAGAGAAGAGAAGAGAAGAGAAGAGAAGAGAAGAGAAGAGAAGAGAAGAGAAGAGAAGAGAAGAGAAGAGAAGAGAAGAGAAGAGAAGAGAAGAGAAGAGAAGAGAAGAGAAGAGAAGAGAAGAGAAGAGAAGAGAAGAGAAGAGAAGAGAAGAGAAGAGAAGAGAAGAGAAGAGAAGAGAAGAGAAGAGAAGACATGACCTCAGGAATAACTGTTTCTGTCTGTGCCTCTCATCTGCGTCTCCTCTCTAGACGCTGTCGTACTCACAGAATCCCAACCCTGAAATCAGCCATAGGTAACCTCCTCTGGTTATCCCAGTGCTATTCGTCATGTTGCCCAGGTATGGGGAAGGCTGCTGACCTGTCATTCTGGTGTCTGTTGCAGCATGACAGAGGACTTGTGTAACTGCTCTTCTCTCCCTCCAAAGGGAGAGCTCAAGGAGAGAAGAGGTTCCCTTTGGCTCTGCACTGGGACTGCCTCTTGGGAAACGGCACCACTGAGCGATTTCTGAGAAGCGTATTCACCATGGGATATGGTGGTACAGAATTACCTTCTCCATGCCAAATAAGAGCTGATAGTCTTCTTTTTGTAGCATTCTGCAAAGAAGAAGCAGGATGAGGATGGACAGAGAGGGAGAAAATGCTATCTCTCTACACAGAGCACAGGCTTGTTCACCAACACAAGGCTGTGGGAAATCACTGCAGGCAGGAACTGAGGCTTGCAGTTTGTGTACACTGACACAGTCTGTGTCAACAGAGAATTACTCCACATCCCCACAACACCCTGTCCAGCTGTCCAGCTGAGAGGAGGCTGTGCTTGATGGGAAGGGTCTCCATTTGCCAAGGGGTTCCCTGGGCTGTGTAGGTGGCAGGGCAGTGCACTGGGAGCCTTGCTGAACGGACAGTATTTGAGGAGCTAGTGATCTCCAACAGGCCATGCCTGCTCTGTTGGGCTTGAGGGCTTGAGAAGCATGTACGTTAGCATGAGAAGCTGAAGTGTACGAGCCTGCTGGAGTGCCCCGTGCTGGCCTGTGCCGCACACTGGTGTAGGTTACGACAGAGATATGTCGTGGTTTAGGCCTGGTTGGCAGCCAACCACAATGCAGCAGCTCTCTCTCCCTTCCCCTCCGGCAATGAGAAGGGACAGAGAGCCAGGCTTGGGGTTCGAGATAGGACTGGGATGGGGAAAAACTCCCCTTTATGGTCACGAGCAAGAGGCAGACTCGTTAGGGGAAGAAAAAAAAGAACATACATTTATTACAAACACTAACAACACATAACAGAGTAGGACAGTGAGAAGCATTGCCACATCTTGAGAACACCTTCCCCCCACCCCTCCCTTCTTCCCGGGCTCAGCTCTGCTCCCGATATCTCTACCTCCTCCCCCAGTGGCACAGGGGCAGGGAATGGGGGTGCAGTCAGCGCTGACACTTTTTTCATCTTCGGTGAGGGGATTGTCCAGAACTCGTTCCCCCTACTCCATCGTGGTCCCCCTCTCACAGGAGACAGTCCTCCACAAACTTTCTCCAACATGAATTCCTCCCATGGGCCGCAGCATTCCCCACACTGCTCCATCATGGGTCACTAACTTCCTCTGACTGGATTCCCTCCCACACCTGCAGCCCTTCCCGAGCTGCTCCGGCGTGGGACGCCACCGCGTGCTGCAATCCTACCAGCACTGAATTAGAGCAGCGGGGCTGCCTTTTCCCATGAGACCCCGGCCTTCTTTGGGCACAGCACCTTGATTATTTCGAGCAGGAGCCACAGGCCATAAATCAATGTCTGCTCCACCGTAGATCTTCATGGGTGGCGGGGGGGGGGGGGCCGCCCTGCCGTCTCCCCACAGGATACAGGCGGGTCTCTGCTCCGGCACACCTCCCCCCTCCTTTCTTCCTCCGTTCCTCCACTGACCTTGGTGTTCATGCAGCTGCAGTAACTCCTCCTCACCAGTCCCACTGCCCGTCACCACGTCCCTTCTTAAATACGTTATCGCAGAAGCACAGCCGATTGGCTCAATTTCCCAAACAGAAGTGGAGCTGACTTGGAGCTGGAGGAGCTTCGAGAAGCTTCTCACAGGGGGCCGCCCCGATAGACCCCTCCCCTGCCACCAAAAAAACCTCCACCATTCACTCAACCCAGGACAAGATAACAAGCTCATCTGTCAGGAAACTTTCTGTTAGTTGCACAGCTTGCTAACGTAATCTGTAATTCATGTGTATTTGGGAAAGGTGAACTGTATGTGCATCTAGGGGAGGGAGGTAGTCATCCTGACACGGAGAAGTTAGTGATCCACACAGCAATTAACCTGAGCAGGCGCAGGCCTGTGCTGTGGTACGCTGCATGTGCAATGTGTCATCCAGGCCCGCACTGTGCCGCACATATCCCTTGAACATCAGATAACCTCAGACAGGACATCGCAAGGGAGGAGCATGTGGACAGCTCCCACTTGCTACAGGCCATTATGCCACCTGCCTGGCCCTGCCTTTATCTAAAGGTGCACCAAGAACCTCTCACATGAACGTGCTTTCTGTTTGGCGCTGAGAATGATTAACAGGGTTGGCTGGAGTTAAATGAGAGGAAGTCTGTGGAGCGCAGATTGAAGAGAGACAGAAAGAAGGTGGGGAGAGAAAGGGGGAAGAAGGGTTGACGGAAGTGAACATAACGTACATGAGAGTTAAATGAAGAGGGAGACAAGGATGAGTGGGGTGGCAAGGAGAGAAAGCAAGACAAATAAACTCGCTGAGTCTGAGAAGAGGAGGAAGAGAAGGCTAGGAAGCAGAGGAGGTAATAGATGGAAGGGGATCATCCTGCCTTGTGCAACACCAAGGAGGAGGAAAGCAAGTCCCTTTTGTGCAGGGGAAGGTTTGCGCTCAGCTCCCTCAGCAGCCTAGCCACTGTGTTTCACTCTCAGCACAATAGTACATGCCAGAGTCATTGAGAAAGGCATGCTCTATGAAGAGGGTCATCCCGTCGCCTTGTATCTCACTGCTCTTAATATGGTTTCGGAGATCCTCCTCAATGGTTACTTCAACACCTTCTATTGCAGAAGACACTAGCCTCAGCCCGGAGTCCTTCCCCAAAGGCAGTTTGTACCAGTACATAGCTGTGCTGGAGGATTTCTTCTTGGAACAGCTCAGATTCGTGGACTGGCCTTGTCGTATCACTGTGTCTGGGGACTGTTCCAGAGCCAACGCTGGAAGGGAAAAGGAGGAGCGTTGAGGAACAAAAAATGGAAAAGCGTGAACTAGGCACCACGGGTTGTTAGAGAAGAGGGTGAGAAGGAACAGGACAGGTTAGGGAGCAGTGGAATGGATGGGACAGCTCTTCGGAACAGCAGGTGAGTTTCCAGTTGCTCTCCAATAGGCAAGAAACATTCCTGGGCACTTTGTGTCCAAAAAAGGGACCATTTGGAGGTTGTGCACAGATGAAAAAATAGACAGCCAATGCAGGAGATTGAGGGATTCCTGCCCACCTCATTCATTGCCCATCCTTAGCAGAGGAAGCTTTGGGGAATGGAGCACTACCAGCAACTGGGTTACACAGCTGGGACAGCAGCAGAGGAATTGATATAGGTGCTCAGGGGTCGAGTTCACTTACCCATAGGGGCCAGCATGGCCACAAAGAACCAGTAGGGAACCATGGGGGAAAAGCCCCTGTCCTTTCAGGAACTGCTTTTTGTAGCTGGCCAGAGATATGTGAAGAGGAAGAACTCGGTGAGGATGAGGGTTGGACAGGACGTGAAATGTGAAAAAGGATTGGCTGGCTGGTAACACTGGGGGATGACACAGAAAATCACAGGAACATATGAAACCTGCAGAGAAGCAGGAAGGGGCTGGGGAGGGGAGAAGTATGTTAAATGGACAGAACTATGCTGAGGTTGCACGGGAGTCCAAGTGTGTACAAGTCAGAGGAATTCTCCCTTTCTCCTCCTGAAGTCCTTGAGAGTGGGAGGAATGAAATATGAAGGTCACACATAGGTCCCTTGTATGTGTGTCCCATGCCATGGCCTGTTCACTTCCCACCACCTCCCACCCCATCCCCGGCTGTGTGAGAGCTCTTTTTCTCTATGTAGTACTGTGAACAAAGCAATTCAAGTCACTGAGAGCAGGACCAAGAAAGGCACCACAACAGCCCCAGAATTCTTCCTGCCAAGGGCTCTCATGGGCTTTGCAGTGAAGCTCTTCCCTCATCCCTTTCTCTGAAGAGCTAAAGAGTGCCTGCAGCTTCCAGCTGCTCTCCTGCAGGGAACTGTGAGTCCCACTGTGGTTAGTTTCTCTTCCTCTGCAGTACAGCTGGGAATGTTCCTGAACAGCACAAAGGAAAGAGTGGGGTGGAGGTCTCATCTGCCCCACACTGCCCTTACCCTTTAGACCTTTCATCCCAGTGCTCCAGGCTGGTGCAGTGATCACTGTGATGGGGATGGGAGGTATATGAGTGGTGAGTGTGTGTGTGTGTGTGTGTGTGTGTGTAGTGTGTCTGTGTGAAGAGCCCAGGGACTGTCAATGTGCTGACGTGAAGCAAGCAAGAATTGAGCGTGGCCCAAAGCAGGAGGCATGAGGGAGAAGAGGTGCTAGAGATTTGGGCCAGGGTGGCCCCTCACTTGCCGACAGGCAGTAACGCAAGTTCATCCAGAGATGATTTCTCTCTGTGGCCTAGATGGGGAGCCCTGGGTGTCTCATCCTGGTGTTGCCTCTGGGGCAAGGGCTTCTGGCAGCTCTGCTTCAGGAGTGCACTTTGTCTGGGAAAGCCAAAGAGAGCTCAGCAACTGAGACCATCTGTGTAATTGCCCCTTCTGCCCTGTGAATCAACCTGTCCAAGGTGGGTTTCTTTTCTGGCAGGACTGAGCCTGTCCTCCAGAGGGGTGGGGGCCAGGGGGGAGGGGGGAGGTCTGCCACTGGGATGCAGCCAGAGAGACCTCTATGGTCTTGAAAGCAGCTGTACTGTGTAATTTTTTCATTCATACTCTACCAGGGACACCTCTCTGCTGCTTTGCTCAGAGGCTCAACAGATTCAGGCCACTGGCAGCCTCTCCACAGTGCCCTCAGGTGCTTCTGCTCAGAAGGACATCCACATGGCCTCGCCTGAATGGGGCCAACTCAGCACAGGCTAGCTGGAGAACCCGATTAGCACAGGGAGAGATGCACAGCTAGGCGTGTGGCAAGGCTGAAAGGAACCCAGGCAACAGATGACAGAGGTCTTCACTATGCTGAGCCCTGCTGGCAGCATCTTTTCCTCCTCGTAAGAACTGTCAGACCCTGTGCCTGGAGGGCACCCTGGTTATGGGGAAGGAGAAACAAGTAGAAATGGGCTAGGTTTGCTGGTGATACGTCTGCCTCACGATGCCAGGAAGGAGAAGGCTAGTGGGCTGTCACCCAGCTCAGTGTTTCTCTAGGGAAGAAAGTTCAGTGAACGGCATGAGGAAAACTGTGCGCAGGTGCTCAGTAGGAGATGCTGAATCAACAAGTGGAGACTGGTGTTGCACAGGTCACTTGTGTGCCAGATGGCATCTCCCTCTCCCCACAATTACAGCATGAGGTGGAGGACCCCTGACCAGACCTATGCCTCACACCTCTTGAAGGATTTCTCAGCATCTGCCCTTGGTCTGTGAAAATATACCTGAGCATCAGCTTCCTCTGGGGACTTTTACACTGTTTTGCTATTCAGCAGCACTTGAGATAAAGAAGAGTAAGCACGTGAGGACAACCTTGTCTTGTGGCAAGCAGCAGGGGATGCAGTGGGTGGGCCAAACCAGACACTGGGAAATAACGGAGTTATCAACAATCCCTTCTGAAACTTCTCTGGGATGGCCTTGTCCTGGTCACCAGGGCCATCCCTTGGCTCACTTGGGATCCCGGGACAACTTCTGGTGGTTGTGCAGCATGCCTAGGGCTCAGCTTTTGGAGCATGTCCGTGGGGTGCTGCATCTCAGTGAGGTGCTGGATGCCTGCTGAGCCGGGACTGGAAGCCCCTCCTCACACTTAGGAGGAGCTAGGTGTGGATTGGGGATGTAAGGGGAGTTGTGACATGAACTCAGAGTGGCTGGGTCTTGCTCTTTCAGCAGCTACTGGTGCTACCTCGTGGTCAAAAATCTTAACTGCTCTGGCCCAACCGTGCATTCTCCTTCCTGGGGTATATTTATGGGACAAATAAACCTCCCAGCGCATTAAGTGGGAAGGTTGTTGCACTGCACTCCACCTCGCATCAGGTACATTGCCCCTCCTTCAGGAAAGAAGTATGGGGCTGGGCATAAATAGAACAGCAGCTCCAACATCAGGATTCCATCTGGCTGTGGGCACGGAGGAGATAACCACAGCGGTACAGACAGGGAAGGAAGTACTGAGAAGCCAGATGCCCGGATCCTGTTCTCAGCTTTCATTCATTCCTGGTTCTTGATTACTATTGTCCTTGGCATGACCGATGCAGGACCAGGGTGATATCTACAACAGGGGAGTCTACAACCAGGGAAGTGGAGAGACAGGTTTCCTGGAGGACCTCGCTCTCCTCTCTTCTCCAGGCAGAGACCAAAGCTGAGGACTCAAGCTAGGGTAGGGGGGTCTTGAAACACAGTAAAGTCCTAACTGGTGTTTCCAGACTCCAGAAATAGCCAAGAAAGCAAAATAAAAAGTTTATGCTCTAGGTGTCCGGATTTGGGAAGAGGATGATGGGAAGGGTCAAGTGTACCTATTCTGCTTCAAAACCCCTAGGACGCTTCAGTGCTCTTGGCTAGCCCTTTTCGGAGCCCACGGGGAATCTCTTAGATGAGATGCAAGGCAACAAGTTGTCCATCTGGTCAGGGCTGTGGGGCTGGGAGTCTGGCTGCCTGGGTTCCCCGAGAGTCAGTCTTGTGTTGCCACTGGGGCCATGTGCAGAAAAATTCACCCCTTATATCTGCTATGCAAAAATTCACCAAAAAGTTAAGTCATCCTGACCGCCTCATTTGCAGCCCTGTGATTCTTCCTCAGGGAAAAATGTGAATGGTCTCTGTCTCAGGATTATTTCTGGTTTCTCTCTTGGCAGGGATTATGGGATTATTTCCCACTGGGATTGTGAGATAAACAGAATTCCAGTTATGGGTTTAGTCACACTGCAATTGCGTGCTAAATGCCCATGTGTAGTTTGGGAACCATCCCAAACAGGATTTCAGATTTTTTTCCATTTGGGATTACAGGATTAATCCTCACTGAGTTTATGGGATTGACATGAGGAGCGTTATGGTATTACTCCTCAATGGCATTACAGAATTATTTTAATTGGGATAATAGGATTAATCCCCCCAAAATGATGGGAATACTTCCCATAGGCATTATGTGATTAATCCCCTAGTGGATTATGCAGTCTTCTTCTCTGGGGAAGCCATCTGTGACCTATACCTGGTGACAGGAGTGAAGAGCAGTGAGTTCCCAGGCTAGACCTGTGTGGGGAGAGGTTTTGGCCGATAGCTGAACATTTGTTCTGGGCAGGGGTCTAGAATGGCCCCTGCTTCACACTGCTCCAAGGGTGACTCTCCAACTCCCCATGTCCTGCCTGTGCGCAGCTGCACAAGAAGCAGGGAGGGAGCACGGCCAGAGCACCGGGCCCAAATTGGCCAATGAAATGTTCTATATCCTGTAACGTCATGCTCACTATATAGGTGGCTGGGAAGGGGTTGTCTCTCGCTTCCGGGACTGTGATTGCGGGATATTGGTATTTCAGGATTGCTAGCTGGGAACGGGCTGGGTAACAGTCAGCGGGTGGTGAGCAATTGCACTGTTCATTGCCAGTTGACACTTTCTGTTATTGTCACTGATTTTATTCCCATTATTAAACTGTTTTCATCTCAACCTGTGAGTCTCCCTTTACCCCTCCGATTCCCTCCCCCATTCCCAGGTGGGGGAGAGTCGGTGAGCAGCTGCGTGGTGTTTGGCTGCCAACCAGGTTCAAACCATGACACCATGTAATGGTCTGTTTAGGAGAAAAGGGACAGAGGGCATCTTCTGTCTACAGAGAGTCACTTTCTATCCTCTTCTTCCTGTCGCCAGACAGGATTAAAACACATTTGTCTTTCTTGACAGGACTTCAACGGACAACCAGCAGTCTACCACAAAGATCCTCTCATCCCAACATTCCCCCATTCTTCTTCAAAGCCTCACTGCACTGGGAAATACACCAAAGGCTCACAGAGGTACGTGGGGTGGTGGTGGTATCCAAGGCTGCCCTCCACTCAGGGAAGGGTTAGCTCTAGAATTGGAGCAGGTCTCTCAGGGCCTGGACCAGGGCAGTTTAGAAAGCTTTCCCAGATGCAAACCACTCCAAGTACCAGGCCCTGTCCCAGCCCTGATGCACTCCTCTGGCAAAATATTTGTCCCTCTGCTTCACCAGAATTTCCCCATCCCATCCTGTGCCCATCACCTTTCAGTCCTTTCCTGGGCACCTCCAAGAAAAGTCTGTCTCTAACCCACCCTCAAATCCCTCCAGGGAATGAGAGGCTGTAACTAAGGCTCCTCTGCCTACTCAGCTTCAGGCCTGACAAACTCAGAGCCCTCAACCTCTTCCCACTTGTCTTGCGTTCCAGCGTCCACCATCTACAAGACCCTTGATAGACATCTCCCCTGTCCTGGGGACACAGGGTGGTTCCAGTCCACCGCTCCCCCAGGTGGAGCAGGGTGACAGAATGATCCCCCTCCTGGCCCTGACAACTCC